TGAATATCAAGATTTTTTTAAAAAGATTTTATTTATTTACTTGACAGACAGAGAGCACAAGTAGGCAGAGAGAGAGGGGAAGCAGACTGCTTGCTGAGCAGAGAGCCCATTGCAGAGCTTGATCCCAGGACCCCGGGACCATGACCTGAGCTGAAGGCAGAGGCTTTAACCCACTGAGCCACCCAGGTGCCCCTAAAGTGTTCTCATCTAGAGGGGGCAGCAGAGATGGGTGCCTCCCAACCCCAGTCAGCACCTGTCCCTCTGCAGTAATGAACGGCTATACATTTAGTGGCCTCCAACAGCATAATTTTATCATCTTACCATTCCAGAGGTCCCAAGTCCAAAATGGGTTTCACTGGGTTAAAGTCAAGGTGTTGGCAAGCGGGCCTGAGTTCCTTCTGGAAGCTCCAGGGGAGAATGCCTTTTCTTGCCTTTTCCAGCTTCTGGAGGCGACTGGATGGCCCTGGTCTCCTCTTCAAGGCCAGAAGCATCTTCAAATCTGCCTCTGCCTTCTTTCACTTGTAAAGAGAAAGACCCTTGTGATTACACTGACCACACCCAGATAATCCAGGGCAATCTCCCCATCTCAATATGCTTAATTTAATTCCATCCCCAAAGTCCCTTTTGCCATATAAGGTAACATATTCATAGATTCCAGGGGATTAGGATGTGGGCATTTTGGAGGGGCTGTTTTTCTGCCTATTTCACAGGGACATGATTTCTTTCACTGACTGACCTTCCGCCAAACTGTGAGCTTCCTAAGGACAGGTGCTATACCCAAATCAAGGCTTTGTAACTCTCTCTCCCTTACCCAGTCCCTGTCCATTATATAATAATTCACAATTAGATATTTATTTATTTAACTCACTTCTTGCCTCCTCCCTAGGTTAAAAAGTAAGCTGCAAGGGGAAAAAAAGAGTAAGTTGCAAGAGGTCAGGGCCTATGTCTGGTGTGTCCGTTACAGTGTCCAGCTCAGGGCCGCATGCACAGGGGGGCCTCAGTAGGACACCAGGCTTTGGGGTCAGGAAGAACTTGGACTGGATCCTGGCTTCAACAGGGATTTTGAACAAGCTACTTCCTTGGTTTACCCTCTATTTTCATAGTGATAAAATAAGGACAATAATACCTTTTTTATGGGGTTGTTATGGGAAGTTAATGAGATTCACAAGCACCAAATAAAGTGCTATGTATTAAATATTTGAGGAAAGGATGCCTGGAGGAGATTCCATGAGAATGTACGTGGGATGAATGAATGAAGGGATTCATGGGCCTCCCTCTTGGGTCCTCTCTGTCTTATCCTGTCCCCATCGTTCTGCTCTGACTCCTTTTTCTCTCCCTCCACTCAGGGTCCCCTGATTGAATCCTGGGTAGGCAGCCTTCCCCCAGATGCAGCTACCCTCTCCTTGGGGGAGGAAGAAGAGCTCCATTATGCATCCCTCAGCTTTCATGGGACAGACACTTGGGGCCAGCAGGAACAGGTGCCAACTGGTATTTAATACTCCGAGATCAAGATTCACAAATGAGAGCCTGCTGAGACCCAGCCCTGGCTTGGGGGATCTTGGCCCCTGAGGGGCAAAGAAAAAGTCAGTCTGATTCCTGTAGAATTAAAAGGCCTGCAGGTGATGAGCTGTAAGTACAGTGGAAAAAACACAGGCTTTAGAAACAGTTTCAAGTTCAAAACCACACGCCACCCCTTTCCTAAGCAAGTGACAGACCAATCCCTACTTTTCAGTGTTTCAGTTTCCCGCTCTGTGAAACAGGGATGAGAACCCCTAGCTGCAAGTTCTTGGTGGGAATTACAGTAGGAAAATCCAGTCAGAGCTCCTGGCACAAAGTGTATGCTGACCACATGCTGGATCCCTGCGCTCTGAGCAGAAAAGTCTTCCTGAGAATTTTTCTGACTCTGGAGGGTTCCAGCAGCAGCCCTCACTCTTGCCTGCTGACATGCCTCCTCCTGGAACGTCCTCCCCACTAGGTCTTCCTCTGCCTCTGTTCTTGAAAGCCAAGCTCAAGAGGTAGACTTCCGGGTTCAGAAGGGAGTCATGCAGTGGGACATGATCTCTCCCTGTGGAGACAAACCAAACCTATAAGGGAGGTTCCCAAACGAGTCAGTACATACATATGTATACACGCATAAATTGGCAAATTGGTTCCAAAATTTACATAGAAATGTGAAGGACCTAGAATAGCAAAAACAGTCTGGTAAAAGAAGAACACAGTTGGAGGAATAAGACTACTACAGAGCTAGAGAAACCAAGACACTGTGGTGTGGAAGAGAACACAGTCCATAATTAGAGTGTGTATATATAGCTAATCGAACAGGTCCAAGTCTATTCAGTTGGGGAAGGAGGGACTTTTTAACAAATGGCTATAGAACAATTGGATCAAGGTTTGGAAACAATGAACCTTGACCCCTTTCTCATGTCACATGCAAAACATTAGTCTGAGGTGAATCATAAACCTAGAAGTGAAAACTATAGAGGTTGTATAATTGTGCTGCCCAGTGGTAGCCACTGGCCACCCATGGCATTTAAGACATGCTATCCTAGGGGCGCCTGGGTGGCTTAGTCATTTAGAGCATCTGACTCTTGATTTCGGCTAGGGCTGTGATCTCAGGGTCCAGGATAGAGCCCTGCATCTGGCTTGTTCCGTGGGGAGTCTACTTGTTCCTTTCCCTCTGCTCCTTCCCACCCTTCTACTTGCACTCTCTCTCTCAAATAGATAAGTAATTCTTTTTTTAAAAAAACATGTGCTACATTTACAGTACAAAAAAAGGGATAAAAGATGTCGTTAATAATTTTTAATATGGATTACCTGCTGGAATGATAATATTTTAGATATACTAGTGTAACTACACTATTATTAAAAGTAATTTCACCAGTTTCTTTTTACGTTTCTTATTATAGCTACTAGATTTTGGAAATTATATATTTGGCTTGCATTATTTTTCTATCAGGCAGAATTGCTCTAGGAGAAAATTTAGGAGACTATCTGTGGGTATGCAAAGATTTCTCATAGGACATCCACAACAGTAAGCATTATATGTTTTTTTTTTCATTAAAAACTCCTGTTCATCAAAAGACATGATTAAGAAAATGAACAGGCAAGCCATAAGCTGGAAGAAATATATACAAATATATATATATATATATATATATATATATATATATATATATCCCTGAAACGGGGCTTGAAATTAGACTATAAAAAGAATTATTACCAGTTAATAACACAATAACCTAACTTTTTAAATGAGGAAAATGACTTAATCATATATTTCACAAAAGAAGAGATTCAAATGGCCAGTAGGTAAATGAAACGTGGTCAACACTGCTGGACATCAAGGAAATGAAATTCACCACAATGAGATGCCCTTTCACATCTGTCAAAATGGCTGAAATCAAAAAGCCCGAGCACACCAAATGTTGGAGAGGGTGTGGAGGAATTAGAACTCTTGTATATTTCTGGTGGGATATAAATTGTACAACTATGGGTTCTGTACAACGGTGTGGTGTTCTGTACAATGGTCACAATTTCTGTGACCCAGAAATTCCATCTGTAATTTTTACTCAAGAAGAATGAAAACAAAGGTCCACACAAACATTTGTACATAAACATTTATAGCAGCATTACTCATAATAACCAAAGGTAGAAACAACTCAAATGCCCATCATCATCAACAACTACAATAACAACAACAACCCAGATGCCCATCAACAAGTAAATGGATAACCAAAGTGTTACAGCATACAAACAACAGAATACTAGTAAAATGTCTATACTGCCTAGAGCAATCGATACTTTTAATGCCATTCCGATTAAAATTCCACCGGTATTTTTCAAAGAGCTGGAGCAAATAATCCAAAAATTTGTATGGAATCAGAAGAGACCCCGAATCGCTAAGGAAATGTTGAAAAACAAAAATAAAACTGGGGGCATCACGTTACCTGATTTCAAGCTTTACTACAAAGCTGTGATCACCAAGACAGCATGGTACTGGCATAAAAACAGACACATAGACCAGTAGAACAGAGTAGAGAGCCCAGATATTCCTCAAAATAAAAGAATGAACAGTTGGCCCATGTAAAAACATGAATGAATTTCAAAAACATGTTGAGTGAAAGAAGCCAGAAACAAAAGAATATACTCTATAATGCCACTTAGATGAAGTTCAAGTACAGATGAAACTAATCTATTGGGACAGAAATTCAACAAAAGGAGCTGCCTCTGTTTGGGGGTGTGTGGCTGGGGGATAACTTAAATAGTGCACAAGGACACTTTCTGGGATGCAGAAAACATCCCATATCTTGATTGAGATAGTAGTTATATGAGTGTATGTATTTATCAAAACTCATTGACTTATTCATGTAAGATTTCTGCATTTTACTGTATATAGATCTACCTTTGACAAAAAATAATAAAAATTTTTTAACAATAATGAAAAGGCTTTAGGTAAAATTCAACAGTCTTACTTAAGATTGTAAGGTGGGGAGGGGCACCTGGCGGGCTGAGTCCTTAAGCATCTGCCTTCCACTCAGGTCATGATCCGAGGGTCCTTGGATGGAGCTGCTACATTGGGCTCCTTGCTCAGTGGGAAGCCTGTTTCTCCCTCTCCCACTCCCCCTGCTTGTGTTCCATCTCTCACTCTTTCTCTCTCTCTCTCTGTCAAATAAATAAATAAAATATTAATTTAAAAAAAAAAGACTGTAAGGCGGGGAAATACAGGTTCAGATATAGAAATAGTAAAATGCCCACCTCTGCTGATGGGTACATGCAGTGGTTAACTCAGGATGTGTTTGGTTTTCTTTCATTCAGATGAGGTGGTTTTGGAAATATCTGTGAATCTATGCATTTTGATCCATAGATCTAGTGGTTAAGTAAGTGACCACAGAGACAATGCAAAAAAGAAATTCGTGGGCAGAATATAAAGAAATGGCACCGAGATGCATAAAAGCATGCACATACCTATTTTCAATCTGCCCGCACACCTCGAAGTTGATTCAGAAGACAGTGCTGGTCAGCCCATCTGAGGATGAGCTGTTAGCAGGGGAAATGGGGCGGGAGGTGCTGAAAACTCTAGCTGGCTCTTCCTGCAGGCAATGTTTTAACTTTATTGGGTTTTAGTAGAGCAGAGTGGCACAGTGAAGATTGCTGGGTCCATAACTTTATTGTGTTTTTTTTTTCCCTGATTATAAAAACAGTTTATACATTTTGTGAGGGGAAAAAAAAACCACTTTGGAACATATAGTAAAGTGCAAAGAAGGAAATTAAGAGATAAGACTGTTAATAGTTAATGTTTTCCATATTTTTGTACAGGGGTGTATATATGTGTATACACACACATACATGTGTATGTATGCACATATATAAGTATATGTGTGTGTATACATACAACTGTAGTCAGCTAATCTCCCCTCTTCATAACGATGGTCCTACCAGGTGCAGTTTTACATTATACATTTCTAACAATGAGTTGTAAGCATTTCCTGCATCAGTGAGCACCTTTCTCCAGCGTGGTTTCTAACCATGACAGATTAGCGCAAACTGCGCTGTGTGCATTTAAGCCATTCCTGGTTGTTGGGCTTATAGGTTGTTCAGTTTCCCCATCACTGGCAATGGTCATTTTTGCATCTTCTCTGGTGGTGCCATGGCATCAAGCTAAGAGAAGGGAGAAGTCAGAAGCGGGTTTGCTTGTGGAGAGGAGGCCTCAGAATTAGAGCGCAGGGCTCCGCGTATGACCCCTCCAGCCTACTTTCCATTGGTTGGCTCTGATTGGCAGATGGAGCAGCCAATGGCCGCTCTTCCCTTGACATCACCCCCACCCTGTCCTAGGTGGGGACTCCAGACTTGCTCCTAGAGTCTCCATCTCCCAGCCTCAGTGTGACTGGGCTGGTTCCTTCTCTTGACTCTCTCCTCCAGTTAGACCCTGTTCCCTCTCCAGCCTAGCCCATCCCTCTGGGGACTCTCAGTGCTTCTCCCTCGCTTCCACCTCACCTTTTTGCCCATTTGGTCTTGTCCTCATGTTCTAAGGCGGACACTGGGTAACCGGGGCTGCCTGCGGGGAGAAATCAGAGAAGATGTCATGTTTCAGGTCCTTAGGGAACAGAATTCCAGAGAATCCTGGGGAGATGAAGGGTCAGCTTCTTCTTTCCAAGCCCTCCTTGTGAAGGACCTCAGGAGTGGCAGGGGATGAATCTGGGAGCTTAACCTCTGCACTGAGAGTCCTCCACATTCCCCATATGTTTTAGCATTTCTGATGTCTTAAGGTCACTGGAGGAAGATGCCCTGGGGCAGCAAATGCGGTGAGGGAAAAGAGACTGTGTGTACCTGGGGAAGAAGCTGGCACTACCTGGGCTAATTCCTAGTGATAATAATAGTAAGTTATTTCACACCTGTTATATACCAGACACTAGAGTAGATGATTTATAGAAATTATACTGAATCCTCTCAACAGTCACACAAAGTAGAAACTTTAACCCTGTTTTGTGAATGAAGAAACAGGACTTCAGAGAGGTGAAAAAGCTTGCCTAAAGTCACACAGCTAGAAAATGACAGAAGCTTGTTCTGAACCTGGCCTTTCTGATTCCCAGCTCCCTGCTCTCATGCATTCCAGACTGGAGATTTGAGACCAAGGAGAATGTGGCACCTCTAAGGAGAATGGGGCAGTGGAGATGTTCGGTTCACTCCTGGCTATGAGGAGGGGGTTATGCCTGGCTAGATTGCATCTTTCAGGCTGTAGAAGAAAAAGTAACCTAGATATCCTGGAACTACTCTTAAACTCCCTAGAGTTTATCATGACTAGTTTGGAAAAGTACATAAAGCACATTGAATGATGATGCTATCAGTAATAATACTTGAGATTTTATTCAGTGCTTACTATGTGCCAAGCTTTGTTCCAAGCTATTTGTCAGTGACACTGACTTTATCCCCATAGCAGATATCCCTGTGAGGTCAATACCAGTATTACTCCCATTTTACACATGGCAAACTGAAGCACAAATGGGCTAACTGTCACACCGACAGTCAATACTTTAAGCTTCTTGCTGGACCATGCAATGATCACATATAGGTTCCATATCAAAATACTAAAATGATTTGAAAAAAGAATGTATTTTCTAAAATCATCACTATCATCACCACAATCAATACCACTGCCACCACAATCACTACCACCACCATCACCACCATTACCACCACCACCACCATCATCACCATCAACATCACCACATCACCACCACCACCACCATCATCACCACCACCATATCACCACCACCATCACCACCATCACCACCACCACCATCACCCCCATCATCACCATCACCACCATCACCCCCATCATCACCATCACCACCACCACCCCCATCACCACCCCCATCATCACCATCACCACTATCACCACCACCACCACAATCATCACTAACATCACCATCACCACCATCACCATCACCACCCCCATCACCACCACAACCACTACTACTTTAGCATCACCAAGATCATCAGCACCAGCATCACCATCATCTCCATCATCACTGCTTTCTTTAACATCTACTGCAATGGTTCTCAGTCAAGGCAATGTTGTCCTCAAGACCTTTCTAATACTTAGAGCCATTTTTGGTGGACTAAACTTAGACTGATAGAGGTTATTGCTGCTGGTATCAAGTGGGTAGAGGCCAGGGGTGCTGCTAAGCATGCTACAATGTGCAGGATAGCCTTACCCCATCCCTGAAATAATTATCTGACCCCAAATATTGATAGTGCTAAGCTCGAGAAATTCTGATCTACTCTGTACCAAGAATGCTGCTAATTGTTTTATCCTCCAAGAATTGTGTCTAGTCCCCATATCTCCCTTCAGGGCAGATGTTACCCTTCACATCCTCCAGATGGGTGAAGAGGACCTGAATGGATTATGATCTACTCAAGGCCACCTAGACAGCTAAAGTCAGAGCTGAGATTGAAACCCAGATTAGAATCTTCCCTCTGACCAGTCTCCTCCCCTGCAGTTGACTCTACTACCTGTTTCCCTAACTTCATTTGGTAACTAGCAACTACCATGTTCCAGACATATGCTCGATGCTTGGCACCCACCCTGCTCATTCTCATGGTTGCCTCTCTAGGTGGACCTCCATATCAACATCATAAACACAAAGAAACTGGGATGAAAGGAAGTCGCTAAGTGAAACCTCATCGCTATATGGAGGCATGACTGTCTCTGCATTCTCCGTCTCTGTCAGTGGCTTCTAGTCCATGACCTATCTATCTGCCTCCAATGATTCCTGACAACACATTCCTAGCTTGTCCCTTCCCTTCCTGGCTTTGCCTTCCCTTCTTAAGGAAGTGTTCTTGAGACCCATTCCCCAGCCAGCACCCCACCCTTGACCCAGGGCAAGAGGCACCTGGTGGAGAAATGGCTGATCAAGGCGTAAATCAGGATTCCACAGAATTAGACGCTGCCCAGGACTGTGAACACAATGAGCCACACCACTTTGGCTCCTGAGATGTAGAAACCTTTGTTCACAACAGGAGTTGTGTCCCCTGGAGGAGAGGATACAAGGGAGTCAGGGACAACATCATTCAACATTTTGCTCACGCACACATCTATTCTTCAGAGATTTACCAGCATCTGCTATGTTCCAAATGTTAGGAATTCAGTAGCGACATTCCAGCTGGAAAGCGGACAATTGACAATTAGGCAAAAAAATGTCTAATATCATTGCAGGAGGCAGGAAGATCTCCAAAAAAGAATAAACCCACTCTAGAGGGTAGAGAGTGACAGGGTTGGGGGTGTTGATTACACAGGGTCATTAACTAACTCATTGCATAGGTATTTGCTGAGCACCAACCACGTGCCAGGCACAGTGTTAAGCACTGGGGACAAGTGGTGAGCAAACAGCATTCCCAGCCTCTGTCCTTCCGGAGCTCACAGTCTGGTGGAGTTAGAAAGGTGTGGATCAGTCAGTGCATTCACTGTCGGTCTGTCATGTCTGGTGCATAGCAGGTGCTTAGTAAATAGTATGGAGTGACCAGAATAAATGTCTCCAGCCCACATTCAGTGTTTGTGGCTCTCTCTGGGACAAGCCAGGCTGATGGCTTCTCATGCACTATCTGATTTAATTCTGCCAGAAGCCCTGTCATACAGGGACCCTTTTTATCTCTACACTACAGATAGGGAAACTGAGGCTCAGGAGGTACTCTTCCCATTTACAGATTCATTCTCAAGCCATATTCCAAATACCACATCCACAACGGATCCCTGCTTCCTCCGCACCACCACCTGCTCTAGCCTTTCCACTTTCTCTTCCGAGCAACCGAGTAAAACAGCTGAGGATATAGGCTGTGAGGCCGGACTACCAGAATTTGAGCACTGCCTCCTCTGTTGATTGGAACTGGAACCTGGAAAAAAGCACTCAAACTTCCCACAGCTCAGTTCTCTTCTCTGTAAGTGGAGGTGGTGTTCACAACAGTCACTTCCTCTGCAGTGAGACTATGAGGGTTGCACAGATTAGAAGAGGGGCTGGCACATAGTAAGTGCTCATTTGATGTTGGCTGACCAGCTCTCCCTGGGACTCACTCTTGCTCTAATCTGAGGTCCTTGAGGGCTTCATGGAGGGGGGCAGCTTTGGACTTGGACCTCAGAGGACAGGACGGGGTGGGGTTGGATTTTACCCAACCATCGTGAGCATGGCTTTGCAGGGTGGGGATGGCATTCATGATGATGGGCACTGCCTAGGCAAAAGCACAGAGATGGGAAGATTTGGGGAACATGAGCCTCAGAGGTGGGCTACTGTACTTACGGGACAGTTGGATCTGGAATTCCCTTTACAAGGTCAGCTGGATCACAGGGTTCGCCACGATGCATCTGTATTTGCCCATCTGGTCCCAGGTCAGACTTTGGAGAGTGACGCTTGCCTCCGAGAAGCTCAGGAGAGAGCCATTGTGGATCCACTGGTACATGGGACTGGGTTTGGAAATGGCATCACACTCCATCATCACCTGGGAGCTGATCTTAGCAGACAGGACGCCTTTGGAGGTAATGGGACTGGTACTCAGCCGCACATTGTCTGTCCCATCTGCAGAGATGGCAGGAGACCCGGAGCTATGTTTCTGACCCCTTGGGGTCCTGTCTCCTTCCCTCAATCCACACACAGTCCTCCCCGACCAGAAGGTGCTCCCACGTTGCACCCCAAGTATCCCCTAGATCCAACACATGCAAGGTAGCTGTGCCAACAACATGACTATAATTATAACATCTTCCATTTCAAGCATCTATTATGAGTCAGTCCCATGACAGACCTTCACATCATGATAAAATAGGAGTAGAAGTAATATATCAGGCCCCCTGAATGTTGGGCTCTGTTCTAAACACTTTATAGGTTCATACATTTGCTTAATCCCCATAACAACCCATGAGTTAATTTTATAGATGAGGCAAATGGGGTTCCCAAAGAGAGGATTAGGGATTTCATAGTATCCTCCTGATCCACAAATGGACTAAGCAAATTCCCCTATGGCCTGGGAGGAATCTCCCTGCAGAAGCAGATCCTAGGTCCTGGTTCTTGACCGCAAACCTGCAGCCAGAAGCCGTGTATGGAGGTCAGAAACTGTCTGCTCTGTGACCACTTTATCTCCATGATTGCCAGAGCATGCTTGTTAGGAAATCTGATGGACTTCGTGTGGTTCTAGATTTAGATGTGAAAACCATTCAAGACTTGTGCTTTTTCACAGTCTGAAGATGTGAAAGAGTTTGGTAAATGTGAAAAAGTCCCTGAACATTGTAAAGATCCAAGGTTCATTGTATTTATAAGACGATGTCTTCAATTTACGAGACCCGTTTGATATTTCGGGGAAGTCCGGCTGGATTGCGTACTTGTGTTGGTGGGTGGTTGAAGGATCATGGAGAAAAGAGAATGCATGAAACGTGTCATTTAGCTTTAAAATCAAACTGTTTAAGGGAGTATAGCCAGTTCAATCTGAGTAAAAGGAAAAGTGAAGGTGATTTTACTAAATTTAGAAAACCAGAATAAAAAGACCAATGTATCTGAAGGCTCAAGGGAACATGGGATTTGAATATTTAACAAGTTGAATGACATTTTTAAGAAACTATTTGTTGTAAGAAGTCCTGTCTTTACAAAAGCCATATCTGAACAAATTTGCACTCTTTCTAATCTGAGGAGTAGCAAGCTGGGTCCCCATTTTAAATAGCAGATCATTCTGTGCCCTGAGGGTGATTCTAAGTCCAGAGAGCTGAGATTCAAACCCAGATCCAGCTGACTGGGGGCTGACTCATGGTGTTTCCTCTCCCTGGTTCTGCATATATTATTGCTACATCCCCGGGTGGCCCTAAGCCCACCCCCAGCATTACTCCAGGGCCCCAGACCACTCACAGGCCACAGTCAGAGAGATAATTTTACTATACTGAGGAATCTCCAGGATGCTGTCTATCTCGCAGTGAAGTGTTCTGTCATAGCGGCTGACTCTGTGAATGACAAGGGTCTTGAGGTCCGGGGAGATTGTCATCCGGTCACTGCTGGACACCAGTGTAAAATCCACATACCACTTGACAGTGGTGGCATTGGTGTAGAAAATGGCAGCCACAGAATCCATGTCTTCTATAAGAGAGGTGGCGTTGGCCCAGATGTCTGGCTTGCCTTCCACATCTAAGGGAAGCAGGAAGAAGACATTAGGGGTGGGGTCTGCCTCCCCAAGCTCTGCTTGGGGGAGAAACCCCGAAAGGGCTTCCGGGGTAGGTTGGTGAGAAGCCAAGAGTTGCAAGATGGGGTCTGAGGTCTTGGCAGGGGAGCAGCCCTAGAGCTGTGAGGGACAGAAAAGTAGGGAGTGGGCACAAATGGTTGAGGTGTGGACACTAGCCTGAGCCTGCCATCCTAGGTGTGGAGTCATCACTGTGCATCCACTGCAGTAATGGTGAGTTCTTGGGATAGATGTGTGGCCTAATGGTTGTTTCTGAACCCAGGACCTAAAACAAGAACACCCCCAACTGAGGAGCCATGGGTAGAATTCAATGTGACAGGTGATGTTTGAACTCTGTATAATAATTGCTCCCTTTATCTGAGTCCCATTCACTTTATAGTTACTTACAGATTATTTACAGTTACTTATACCTACAGATACTCCCTCCAACCTTACAAAAGACAGAAGAGATACTATCCCCATTCTACAGATGAGGAAACAGAACACCACAGAGGGAAGATGAAGGCTCAAGGCCATGGGACATATACATAGTCAGAGGTAAACACAGGACTTCCTATCTCCAAATCCCCACTCTACCCACCCAGCCCTGTGGAGCCCCCAGGAGCTGTCTATAGTAGACAGAATTCCAAGACAGCCTCATGACTTCCAGCCTGTATAGTCCCTGCCCCTCAAATGTGGGTAGAGCCCATGACGTCCTTCTAAACTAAACAATACAGCAAAAGTGATGGACTGTCATTCCAGTCGTTACCCTTATGTCATATAAGACTCCTTCTTAACAGAGTTAAAACTTCTGAACAGAGTCTCCCTCTCCCAGAGAGGCAGAATTCAGTTGACCTTGAAGAACCAAAGAGTTGTGATGTGACATGCCCATGGACAGAGCCACACGTGAGACCACAGCCCCAACTCAACACCTTGTGAGTCTCAGAGCACAGCACTTGCCAGACTTGCCAGACGGGGATGTGTGCTAGTAAATGGGTGTTGTCTAAGACTGCCACTTGTGGCTCTTTGTTACGCAGCAGAACTAACGGATACCCTGAGAGTGAAACTGGAACCCTTGAAGGAAACCAGTGGCCCTTCTCAGCGGGAGAAGCTGGACTACATCTGCCAAGTCTCCCCCTGTCACCTGCGGGTGGAGGACACTTGGACAGTTGGACAGTATGATCTCCCAGGGACCTCACTCCCAAAGCCCCCAGGTCTGGAAATGGGCAACCTGCCAACTCACCTTGTATTTCAAGCCAGCCGGTTGCTGTCTGGGTCCCATTGCCAGTGTCCACCCTCACAGTGTAGTTCCCTGTGTCATTTAATGCAGATCGCCTGATCATCAGGTCACCTAACGTGGTCACATTCTCCCGGCCTCTGTACATGGGCCCAGTCTGCCAGGAATTGGAGGGAGGTTTGTAGCTGACGATCATATTGTCCTCAGTGTCATTTGCACCACGGTGCCAGCTGAATTCTAGAGCATCTTCAGTGGCATTCTCGAGGACGATGATGGTCCGAAGTCCCTTGAACCCTAAGAGTGACTCTGGGCTGATGTAGATTTGGCCAGAGGCTTGGTGGGTCCCCCAGGCCAGTAGACTGGCTGGAGAAGACAAACAGAACCCATGTACATGAGAGAGAGAGAGAGAGAGAGAGAGAGAGAGAAAAGAGAGATTGATTTACACTGCCCAGGAAATGATCTCCAGGGACACTGGTGAACGTGCCATGGGTTTCTAGCTCCCCAGCCTGTCCTCCCCTCTCCACCCCCTCAGCCCCTGTCCTGGTCCATTCCTTCCTTACCCTCTTCCAGCCTGGTTTCCTCCTTGGACACTCAGTCTTCAACCCATCCTCATATGACGGTTATGTGGATCCTTACAAAGCCCCAGTTGTGACCCTGCTCTCTTAGGTAACTTCTGTAGTTCCCCAGCACTCCATGAATAAAGTTAAAACTCAACATGGCTTATGAGCCACTCTTAGAAAGAGCTGGTCTTTAGGACTCATCTAGCCTCCTTTTGGATCATACCTACCCCACCCCATTACCCCATGAACCCCCTTATTCAGTAATTCATTCATGCATGCATTTCTGCATTCATTTATCAGAAGACACAGTATCTGTACTGTGTTCCCCAGACATAAACGGCTCTCTTGTTACACCACACTCTCTCCTGACTTTGGGCTTTCACACATGCTGTTCCCTGTTTCTGACACACAGATCTCATTCCCTCCTTCCCAGCCCCCTATCAACTCACTTCTACTCAGCCTTCACTTCTTAGCTTTGATGTCCCCCTGCTCCCCAGTCTGGGTCAGATGGCCCCCTGGGGCTCCCCCAGCCTCCTGGGCCCCCTCATCCCCATCCCCAACACTCTGGGTCACCAGAGTCTGGAGATAGATCTTCATCACACTGGACACCACATCACAGGGTCCCTGATCATGGGGCAGAACCCAGTGGGAGAGCTCAGTTGATAGGTGGGTGGCTGAAGTCCTCCAAGACTGTCTACACGTGCCTTTGACTTAGCATCTAAATTCTGTGGAGTGCACATGAATGTGGATGAAGATCTGTCGTCCTAAGACATGGAGATCTCCTGTCTGTGTACCCTAAGCCTTGACTCCATGGAGGAGGCAAATACCCCTGAGATCCCCTGCTCCAGGCCTCCAGGTGTAGATACTGGTGGTGTTTGAGGACAGGACACAGGGTGGCCAGTGAGACATGACAGTTGTCCCTGTCATGGGGATTCAGAGGGTCCTAGAAGGAAGTGAGAGATTGGGAAGGAGTCCAGCTGGAGAGGTAGGGGAGGGGATCTGGGCAGACTAGGAACCCAGGGGAGGTGATTTCCAGCAATCACAGGAGGGGGTCCAAGTTCATCACTCCTGGGGGTGAATGGGGATGAACATTCTGTGTGTATGCATATGTGAGTAAGAGAGAGAGAGTGTGTGTGTCTATGGGTGAGGTAGGCCCAGGTATGTGAGCTCACGAAAGTCCTGGTGCCAGCTCTGTCCTCCTCTCCTCTAACGCTTCCCTGTCCTATGGGTTCAGGTCTCTTACCCAGGAGAACCAGCTCCCTCCAGAGTCTGCATCTGGTTCTGGAAAGGTCCATGGGTTACGCAGGTCCTCCTGGGCTAGGTGTTTGTCCAGGGACTGGGCAGCCTCCTCTGCCTCTTCACAGACCTGCATCTCTGGCTCTGAGCTGCTGGTCCCCACCTCCCTCTTGCACTCCAGTGGACTCTGAACCCCAGCCACCCAGGGCTGGGGAGGAGACGCTTGGGGAGTTGTTATCTTTATGACTCTAAGGTGCACTTAGCTTATCATGTATTCGCCTCATTTCTTTTTTTTTAGATTAGTATCCTATTCTGCCCTGGTTACAAAAAAATCTTAGGCTCACTTTTAGGAAACTGGAAAATACCGAAAAGCACAATAAATACAGGACAACAGCCTTTTTAAAATGTGGGGCAATTGTTCGTTTTTGTTTTTCCTACTCCCTGTAGATCTCACTTTTTAAATTGCATTGTCTTATTTGATGAGGGGCTGCTTTTCACTCCCTGGACACCAACAGCTTATTTTAAGTCTCTCCCCTAAAGGGTCAGCAGATCTTCTTCCACCTGGACATTTGGAGTGGCTGTGGGGCCTGCTGTTGTATGCCTGAGCCAACATGTATAAATCCCATTCTTTTGGTGTTGGATCTTTAGGTTCAGTAATAGAAGTGTTGCCAGGGCAGAGCAGAGCGTGCTCATGGAGGGCATGGCTCTGAGCACATGTGATGTATCTGCATCTGGGGACCCCACAGAGAGAAAGGGAAACATGGAGATACAGAGACCCAGGTGGGCTGGATGAGGGACTGAGAAGGCAGGGGAGCGGGCTCACCCCAGAAAGGGTCACAAATCTTTCAAGCTGGACTCGGAAGTATGTTCATCTTTCATTTTTATGACAGTAAATATGACTTTAATTGAAAAAGCAATGCATTGGCTGTAGAAATTTTGGAAAATTCTTAAGAAGGAAAAATAGAATTCATACTGTGTTAGTAATTAATTTAAATAGTTTTAAGTTGTTATGAATACTCATTTAAATAAATGTGTAAATATGTTACTATTTATAATAGATTATTTAAACAAGCAGATGAATATTTATACATTCATACATTTTTACATTTATAAATATGTAAGTAAATAAAATCCTTTTAAGTAAAGTACAAACTTATTTATCAGAATTTGATTAATACTATTGGAAAGTCACCTGTAACAGCCAGATCGCCTGGAGATACAGCCAGTGTTTTTCTTCGAAACTTTTCAGTTTTGATATGTCATATGTACTCAGGCACAGATACATATTTTTACCAAAGTGGTATCATACCGTTCAATATCCTTCTATATTCGGGCTTCTCTAATGTTAAGCCCAAGTTTAGACAGAGGTAGGTGAATGTACACCTCAGAGTTCTTATGGTTCATTCAACATCTCTGAAGTCTCCTACTGTATTCTGACAACCCATATGAATATTTGTAGCCTACTGCAAAACACATCTTTGTTGTATTTGTTATAATAGGAAAATACTATATTATGTGCCACTGAAATTGCTAAATTGGTCCTCTTCAGTATTTGAGTGTAAGTGGTGCCCGTAGAAAACACAGAGAATAGGTTTTCTGCCTGTAGCTTATCAGAAGCCCTACTTCTTGTATCGCCATTGGTCTTTTTTCATGGCTGCATACTATTCCACTGCATTGGCCATGGATCCATTTGTTCAACACATCCCCTATTTGGGAGCATTCAGATTCTTTCAATGTTTCCTCTTTTTTATACCAACAGCAGCATAACGACTTTTGCCCAGTCCCATTTTTGGAGCTAAATGGGTCCCAGAGATGGACTTTTGAGTAAAGAATTTACCTTAGCCAAAGACATATCTGACTTTGTCCTCAACTCCTGGAAGAAATGCCTAAATCCTTTGAATGCCCTGCCTGATAAGAGTGTCTCTATTTTCCTTGTGGGGCCTTGGAACACACTGGATATTCCACAGTAGAAATTATGATGAAGGCTTTGGGTCACATGAAATCCACTCTGCCCCTGGAGAGGCGGGAGGTCGAGGTCAGCTATGTGAGCAGTGAATCATAACTGAGTGAAAGAGTCCCAATAAAAACTCTGATGACCAGTCTCAGGTGAGCTTCCCTGGTCAGCAGACTGTCATACACTAGTGCTGGGAGGAGGTAATGCTGTCCATGACTCATGACTCCACTGGAGAGACATGTGGAAGCCCCTGGACCCTGACCATGCCCTTTCCTCCCTTTCACTGACACTGATCTGTATCCTCCAGCTGTAACCAGCCCTAACCACAAGGATAATAGCTTTTAGTGTGTTATGTGAGTCCTTCTCCTAGAAGTAGGTGGTCTTAGGTATCCTGAACTTGCAATACTGTCACAAGTGAAGGTGGTCATATGTATGGATACCCCCTAACTATGCCTCACTGTCTCCACTTGCAACGTGAGGATGTGAAACCTTTCCTCTCTATAGGACTGCTGTGAGGTTTCAATAAGGTAACATATATAAAAGACTACCAACAATGCCTCCCACACTGACCATTTCAGGACATGTTATTCCTAATGGCATAATTAGAAATCCTTTCATAATGTTTCACTAAACTTTTCGGGAAAAAAGAAACATTTTAAACTGTGTTTATAGATATTTAAAAAACACTTCGGTTGTATGACCTAATAACAAAAATCTTCACAGGTACTTAAATTATCCTATAAATCTCATTAATTAAGATCTTGTATCCTGGGGCGCCTGGGTGGCTCAGTGGGTTAAGGCCTCTGCCTTCGGCTCGGGTCATGGTCTCAGCGTTCTGGGATCGAGCCCCGCATCGGGCTCTCTGCTCGGCGGAGAGCCTGCTTCCCCCTCCCTCTCTCTCTCTGTCTGCCTCTCTGTCTACTTGTAATCTCTGTCTGTCAAATGAATAAATAAAATATTAAAAAAAAGATCTTGTATCCTTATTACCTTTTCTTTTTCCTTATTAAGGTAAAAGGGGGTTGGTTAATGGGAGGAGACCAGCAAGCTCTGGCCCAGAGGCCATCTGATTGAATCTATTTGACATCACTCGACATGAAGCATCGCTATCCAACAGAGCTTTATGCCAAGCTTTATGCCAAACCACTGCAGAAGAATGTCCTTCCCTTGTATCCAGACTGTACATGGACAGTAATGCTTGGTCCAGGCAATCAGGACCGATATGGAAAAACTGGTTTCACCCAGAGCCCACAGCAAGAATCCGAGCATTTACGGAAGTGAGACCCTCAGGAGGGCCCTACGCTCAGGAGAAAGCGGCAGGCTTGGAACATACTTCGGGCTCAAAGACTCACTCTCATTCCCTTAAGCCAACCCCTGAGCTCAGCTGGGTGTGGGTGGCAGCCTGAGGAGGCCTCCCAAGGAGCCCTTAATCTTCTTCTAGAGCCCAGCTTTGTACCTTTTTATCAAGACAGAAAAACGTCACAGGCCCTCCCAGGGCAAGGTTCTGCCTGGGACAGCCAGAGTGAATACTGGATGATGCTCACCAGGCCCAGAGACCACAGGGAATGCTAACCTGGGATCCTTGTGGAGATCAGGGTTCCACACCTGTAAACCAGGTGGAACCCTGACGCCTCAGCCTGGTCCCTGTGGCCCCGTGTGGGCAAACCTATCACCCCAGTTGCATCAGACCATCAGGGAAAGCCATGAAGTTGTCAATCGCAGCAACCCTGAGATGGTCTACATTTTCATGGGGGTGCCATGCGAACTGGATAGAGAGGATAGGAGGCAGGACCCCCCGCCATCAGCTCCCAGAGAAGAATGAAGTGGAATGGGAAAATAACATTAACAATAACATGGGTAATAACAACAGTGATAACAGTAATAATTCTTTGCCTTTTATCATTCCTGTGTAGCGAGACTGGCTTCTGAGTAGCAGAGTGGGAACCAGGTGTCAGGGCGCAGCTGGTGTGGAAGTGAATGGGTTGAAGGAGTAATGGAAGGACACAGGTGGTGCCGCCATCTGGGTAACTCTCCGGGTGAGCAGCAGAGGGCGCCCTAACCGCCCTAACGTTGAAAGAGAAGCGCCGCTGCCAGGAGGGCATCGTGGGGGCGGTGGAGAAGGGCACAGACCCGTTTCTGCTCCCAAATTACCTGATCTCTGTAGGTTTCAGTGACCTCACCGTCCACTCTGTAGGCCTCAGAGTGGGTATCGCACCTCCTACCTTTATGAATTTGAGAACAAAAGCCAGACAGTAAAATCAGCAACCACACCACCAAAAAAAAAAAAAAAAAAAAAGCAAGGAGAGTGATAGGGCCTCTGTCATATGAACCCTGGAGCCACCCACACCTAAAGCTGGGTCAAATTATGTCCTGAATAAAAAAGGGGACTCAGAGGGGCGCCTGGGTGGCTCAGTCGGTTAAACGTCTGACTCCTGATTTCGTCTCAGGTCATGATCTCAAGGTTGTGAGATGGTGCCCAGAGTTGGGCTCTGCACTGGGCAGGGAGTCTGCTTGAGATTTTCTCTCTCTCCTGTGCCCCCCCGCCCCTCCCCCAGCTCGCACTTGAAATTAATTAATTAATTAAGTCTTCGGGGGGAAAATGGGGGGACTCAGAGACAGAGACGTATAAGACAGGAGCCCTAGACCTGGTGGTCAGGTCAATAACTACTCCACATTAAATAATGCACATTGTGTTCTCACTATGTATTTTCCATTTGCAGGTTTGGGGATTTGGACTGTGCAGTTAAAAACAGACGCTTTAGAGATAAAAAGATGAGATTCAAAACTGTCTCCAGCAGGAGCTTGATCTGCTCTGCGGAAAGCGACATCGTGAAATATCTCAATTTTGGGACAGTCTGTCATAACCTGATCGCGACTTAACTTAATCCCGTACAAAACTCTACAATTCAACCCCTCAACACTTGTATTTTTTTAAAGATTTTTTTATTTATTCATTTGACAGATAGAGATCACAAGTAGGTAGAGAGACAGGCAGAGAGAGAGGAGGAAGCAGGCTCCCCGCTGAGCAGAGAGCCCGATGCGGGGCTCGATCCCAGGACCCTGGGATCATGACCTGAGCCGAAGGCAGAGGCTTTAACCCACTGAGCC